GAATTAATAATAATAATATGAATAATCTGAATAATAATCCAATACAGTCTTTTGGATAAGCTGACAAAAAGTGACCATATTCATGAAATCTTTTGGACCAAAATATAAAGTACTACATTACATCCTTCCTCATTCTGCTGGCTACTGATACATCTTTATTTTTGTGACACTCCTACAAGCCAGCACCCACTGCTGAAAATGGCAGACTTCTTTTTCTTTATTCATCATCATTCGTCTCCCTTTCACTTTCATACGGTACATGTACCTTTAAAGCTCTCATGCATCAATTTATCTCACTCACACACACCCAGAAAAATCTTTGAAACACACACACAAAGTTCTTATCTTTTACTTCCTTTCATGTGTTTTCTCCATCCCCTCTTTCATTTCTGTGGTTGGAGGACGGCTGTCTACCACCAGCATCATTCAGATCCCTTCTGGATGTGGTTCTGAACACGGTGGGGGCAGTCAGAGTGATATATGGCCGTAATCCCAATGCTGCAGCATGACACGGCTGTCAGTTGCCATGGGAGACTACATGATTTATACTCTGCTGCTGTGCTTATGGTTTGATAAAAGTGACGTTAAAGGTCTGTTCCTGGACCTGACAACATTATTCGCTAAGCCATACCATAAATGGTGCATTGGAATATTTTTCCCTTTTTCCAGCTATCATCATAATACAGGTTTCATCTTTTCCCTTCACGTTTGGTCCAGTTCTACTATTTTGAATCTTAGTAAAGGCGGATTTGTCAGTTAAAGTTCTCAAAAACTTCTAGTTCTCTCCTTCTGTCATTAATGATTAGGGTCAATTGTTCCTGTCATCTGACATTGTGGGATGTGTTTCATACACCGCTGACTTTGATTTTAAAAGGTCATTGGTCAAAGCAGCGCAGAGCATGTATAACATCTGAGGGCTGAGCTGTGCATCAAAATGAAAAACATTTATACACAGATGGCTACTTCAGGCTGAAGAAATGGGTATTATTGATTTTGGCGGCAAGAATATTGTTAAATGAGACAAAATCAATACAGATAATTTACAAGGCTGTAAAAGAAATACTGTGTTAAAGCAACATAAGATATATGCCAACGTATTTCATATTGTTGTTTTGAGGTATTTACGTGGTGATATAGCTTCACAGAATACAACGATTTTTTTTTTTTTTAGCAAAATTAGGACTCACGATACAGGACAAAATGAATTATGCAAATAAGCTTTACAAAGTCTGTGATTTTATTCCCTCCAGAAACGCTTTCACTGAAAATAAATAGGATGCTAATCAGTATACTTTAGCATTATGATTAAACTTTCTAATCCCTGCACTAAGAAAATTAAACTACTAATAATTTTCTGTTGCAAAAAGAATAAAATTTTCATTCTGAAACGAAACATGAAACAGATTAAAGTTCACCCTTTTAAGCATTTATAGCTTGCTGGAGAATATTTCCATGCTTTTTCGTGTTTAGCTTTGTTTTTAGTCTTTAACATCTCATTAGGGAGTGATGTGCAGCAGCTCTTAACGCCTCCACATAATCATGGACCATTAATTTTTGCTGTCTGCAGTCTTATCCAGATTTGGTAATACAATGTCAGTTTTAGAATTTCCTCTTACCAAAAAAGCAAAAAAGAGCAATAAAACAAAATATTAAAACAATGAAGTAAAAGCCTACCACCAAATAGGTATTGATTAAACCAATTCAGTGCACTAAGGTGAAAGTCAAAGGCTAGATTATTTATTGTACCATAGACTATTGTACCATTTAAGACTTTCATTATAATCATGTTTGAATAAAAATGTATTTGATAAAACTACAAACTTCGATGTGACTCAGGAATTTTATGCGGTAGACCAGCTTCAGTTATAATGGTTCTCTTAATGTTGACATGCCTTTGCATTTAGTTCAATTATCATCTAGTTTGTTCTTTTAAACCTTGGTCTATGTTGTACGGGTTTCTAGTGTGTGTAGTGTCAGTTTCTGTGGAAGTTACACTCATTAAAAGTCAGGGTATTGGTGGAATTGACCCTTTGGCTCTCTGCTGCCTGGGCTGCAGCATTTCACCTGCCTTGGTGAGCTGATGTTAGTCTTAACAGTGCAAGTTTCACATTTCCACAGCTCTTTCCTCTTGTATATGTGGAAATTTGCATTAATTTTAAAGACACTGTTTTCTGCGACTGTTACGCTCATTAAAACTAAGGTTATCGGAATAGTTCCATAGTCATTTTTTGTTTCAGTTTAACCATAGTCTGTGCTGAAATGTGCTTGGGAGAAAGCCCAGATGCCAATCAAAGACCATTATGCTTACTTTGTATAAGCGTATTGGTCTATTTTTCAGCATAAACGTGACTTTTTTTAGCGTTACGGCCAGCAACGCTGAAGTACGCCAGCAAGAACCCTGACATCCACCTCCGTATAAATACAGTTGTGCCTTAAATATGAATAAACTTTGTGATGAAGTACAGGAAAGTCACATTGTTACAGTTTAGAGATAAACATGTGAAGAAGTTTAGTAGGTAAGTGTAGTTAGCTAATTAAACAATACAAAGAAATGGAAACGTCAAGGACATGGTTGCCCTTGGAAACTGATATGCCATGCTAGGAGACCTTTCAGCCAAGATGGCCATTTTGGCAGTGGAGATGTGCCTGAGGGGTGACAAGCTGTTAACCAAAAACATGTTTATCGTGTACAAGCATATGCAAGAATGCAAAAATAAAAGGATGCACTATTCATGTCTTACTACTGTTTGCATTAAATGTTTTTCTTTGTGCTTTATCACAGTTGGAAAAAAGCGTTCTTTTTACACCTCTGCTAGTAGATGCTTTGTTTTATTATATTTTATTTGACTCATGATCACAAGCAAAAAAATCAAGCCTCTGGTCAGGTTATCTTTTTATGGTGTATGCTCAAATGCCCATAAGTTTGATGAACAGTTTTCCTGAAAGATAGGTAAGAAACACCCAAGTCAATTTTTTTATAATTGCATATGAACCAGATCAACCCACCTGCTCTAACGATCCTCAGGGGGAATATCTACTCTATCAAATGTGTGTGCACTAGCCCATTGCCCTCCTGAACATCTCCTTTCATGGTCTGTCCTTATCAACCAAAGAATAACTTAGCAGTACTTATTTACATTTTAAAAGTCTATTATCAGAGCAATGAGGCTACAATGAATGTTAAAAACCAAAGTTCACTGGATACATAAACACTTCTTATGTGTGCACAGCAAGTGAAAACTATGAAACACAATTCCATTTGGTGAGGAGATCATAAAGCTTTGCATTTAACCAACAGATAAGATGATCCTCTTAGAAGTCAAAGCTGAAAGATAATTGTCTATTATACCTTCAAGCTTGATAACAAAAAGACATTTGTTATCGTTGGATATGACTGTGGCCCTTTAAGAGGCATGTTGCTGTCAATGCAGGCAGAAGATTCTACAAATAATCTATTTTAGGGATTAACTACCATACAAGGCATGATTCTATTTTTTATACTTAAAGCTATTCATTAATATTTGCTTAAATAAACTAAAAAATGGTATGTTAGTAAGTTTGCGGTTCTAACATGACAATATATGAAAGGTTCAAAGGTATAGTGCCCTGAATCTTTGAATGAGATGAGCTTTTTGTCTATTTAACATTACACACTTGCCATCTATTCACTCATCTACGTCAGATGTTATAGATGTTATTTTGATTTAGTCATGTTCTGTCTTTATAGTCTCTCATGTAGATGAGAAACTCTCTATCTAATACCCCTTTGATCTAACACTGACATTATCCGTGCTTCTGTCTCATGTCATCTAATATAGTATTTAGTATAGTACAGCCCTCCCCCATTTGTATCGTGTAATGTAAACCAGAATGAAAATATGCCTCCAACCTTTGATCTAAATCTTCCCCCACTATTGAAGAGTAAATATAACATAATTGTGAAGCTTAGAATCTTTTTTTTTCTTCTTCTTCTTCAGAATTTACCCATGGGGGTAAAACTTATAGCCTGACTTAGTCCTACTCAATTCTAGTCAGAATATGAGTCTGATACTGCTCCATAGAGCTGTGATTATGGGGCGTGTTTCGAACGAACCAGGTAAAAAATGCCTCTGCACTCAATTGGATAGACCTACAACCAATAAGAGCAATGGAGTGCGTGACGTATGTTAAAGCTACAGTGTGTAATAATTACAGGAATATACAGTCAGAAAGGCAGAGCCAACAAACTAGCGATTGCGAGATCGCCCATTACGCTCTAAAGTAACTACGGCAAGTTGAGAGAGATGAACTGAGACGGTACTGAACAATAGATACTAAATACTACTATAGATACTTATAAATACTATCTGTAAAATGATCTATGTAAACAAACCTCATCACTTGAGAAGGTAGGTGATGCGGATGTCGTGGAAGACATTTTGTCCCGTAACGCTCGCCGTACTGTTGGGGGGGAGAAGCTGTGGGGGGGGGATGTTCATGTTGCTGCAGTCTGCAGTCTGGACGTTAGATGTCACTGAAAATTACACACTGTAGCTTTAAGTGACGCATAGTTGTTGTCAACAAAAATCAAAGCGTGCAGTTGCACGCCTAGAATAAGATGAGCCTTGATCGCGTTTCTCTGTTCCTCTTTTAAAATTATTTTGCTGTCGATATCTTCTAGAACAGACCTAATAGCAGAATCTACTCACCTCAACTCTCCAACGGCAGCCATTGTTGTTGTCACCCAAGCGCGCTTTGGTGACGTGGTTGATTACGTTACTGTTGATCATCTGTCCATCATCTTATAAAGCCTGCCCTGACAATTTGATCGGCCCACCAGATATTGTGCGAGCATACTCGCGCTACTATTGAGCAATGCCAGACCGAACTTCCCGACCTCAAACGTTGTGGGCGGGACTAAGTTTGGAATGGCATCCAGGCTATAAAACTTACTTTAAATCTTGCAAAAATATACTTCTGGTATCCATTTTTACATGTTTGCATTGTTTTCTATCCTACAGGTATGGTGAACTACAGCGAGGTGTCTGGCTATCCTCTTGTCCAACACTGGAGTCTACGTTCTGTGTTGTACCATGTCAAACTTAACCAGTGGGTCTTGTCTCAAGGTAGAGTACTTAATTGTGTTGTTATTAAGCTACTGACAACCTATTTCTATGCATTAACAGCAGACACACACACACACACACACACACACACACACAAAAAGCCAAATTTTACATTTCAGGAAAATTTGACAACTTACCTAAGGACCATTATTAGCTAAGGAGTACTCAAATACAATACACATTCAAACTTGTTGAAGGGAATCTGAACATTTGTCAAACAAAACCTATCAAAATACATACAAAATGTCCAATTTCAACAATAGGCAGCTAAATGAAAATACAATAAATAGATGCTTTAAATGAAAAACACATACAGCTACACTAATGCAACATTATTGTCTTAGCCACACAAGCAACCTTTCAAATTAAAACCCAAACTCTGCACTTTCTAATAGTATTAGTGCCAGTAGTGGATTCTTATATGGGGACATGTGCAGCCACCGAAGCAGCTTCATGTCTAGAGCAGCATGAGATTCCCCAAGTTGTACCTAATGTTCAGGCTTACTCTAGCGGGGCATGTGCAGTAAAGACAGTATAGCTTAACAGTATCACCACTCTATCAGCTAAGTTCATTCAACCACCCAATACAGGGAAATAATGAGGCTCATTTCATGAAGACAAAAGCATAAATTCAGTCTTAACTTTGGTGTTTGATGGTCATAATCCATAATTCCACATCGCTCCTGTTCTCCATTTTCCCAGCATCATCCCTGCATATACTACTGAGTGTTTTCCACTTTTTGCGTCACCTATTGGCCTTGTGATTTTTAGAAACTGTTCTACTAGTGTGTCAATCATTCATAAATATTCTAATATTTAAACTAATTGGCAAATCCCCTTTCTGCCTCTTGACAGGAGCAGAAAGCTTTGTGAAGTCCATTGTCACAATGACAATGAAAAAATATATAAGTGATATATACGTTTACAAAAATGTTTTTGTTTTGCTGTTATTTATGTTAAGTTTAGTAAAACTCACTCTGTGAGCCATTTAAAAAATTGGGATGAATAAGTTTGCACTATTAATGCAGGTTCTAAGTCAGATACTATTTGTCAATAATATTCACAATAATAACAAGTTCTTTTAGGATTTATAATTATGTAAAAATATTTAAAAAACTACTTTTTTTAATCCTTGCTAAATAAAAACAACAAAGCTAGCTCTAAAGAAAATCTAAGTGAGGTAAATTGAAACTGTCATGAAGCTTCTTTAGTTAACTTTTAAGAAGAAGTCCGGTCATATTCAGAATTAAAACTTCTGAAAGTACTTTAAATATGAAATTATTACATACTGTTCAATATATGATAAGTGTTTTTAACTAAGGTTAATTTCTTTTAAATGTGCTTTACCGGGAACATCCATGTTTCTCAAAGAACACTACTGCAACCTATCGGTTTGTGACATCACGTTGCGGTATCGGCTGTTGATCAAGCGCTAGTGCGGTATCTGGTGTTTTTCACGCCGCGCTAACAGGTACAAGGGGAGATAACAAAGAAATCACGTTTGTGAGAAATCATCAGTTTAGTAATCATCATAATGACATATTTGAAATGAAATGTGTATAGCATGTTATTAGATATAGGACAAATTTATCTGGACAAAACTACAACAAAAAGAGCAGACTATTCTATGCAATACAAAATCAGCGAACTGAGAGAAAATAATTCAAGTAACTTTAAATACAACAAAAACCTAACAAAATGGAAAAACCTAAACTTTGCCACACCTCTTCTAAAATAAGTAGAAGAGTCCAGTTAAGTGGCACTGGGATTATTTGCAGCTGGGACCCCTGCTTCACTGGCCCAGCCAAGCCCACATGCAGCATTACAGGAACTGGCAACACAAAAGAAAGTTAGTTCAAAGTAAACCAAACAAAAAAAAGGCAAAATAATTCCACCAAATGTGTGCACTCAAATAGCCAGCAAATGTCAAATCATAAGTAAAAATAATCAAAAACAATATGGTAAACAAATATAGAGTGACACATTTAAGTAAAAACAATTACCTGACTATTTATGGGGCTACACATGCTGCCATTACAGTTCTACAAAAGTAAGTTTTAGCACTTTTGAACTAAATTTGAGAACATTATACTTTTAAGTTTCAGTATATGGCCAAATTACTGATTTAGTTTGCAAGTTAAAAGAAAAAAAGTTACAATGTTGAGAGGACCATGGCAACCAGGGGACCCCCAGGGTTTACCGCAGACAGGGCTAAAGTTAGCCTGTCTGCAACAGCTCGTCTGCACAGCCAGAGAGCTCTGATGGCAGTTTATTTGGCATAACAACAATTTGAATTACGTTTATCTGACTCTGTTAATCATCATTCCCCACTAAATGGAAAAAAGTCAGAATTTATTATTATCTAGAGACTATTAATAACAGGACGTGACATTCAGGTCCAGACGAGCTTTGAATGTGGTGATCTCGCTTCTGTTCCGATTGATACAGATTTGTTCTGCATGCTCTTGGAGAATGTAGTTGGCAAGAACACTAGTCATTTTCTCATTCTTGTGAATTGAGAAAAGGCCTTTGTCTCAGTAAGCAAAAAGAAACACAGTTAAATATTAAACTCATTGTGTGCAATGTGTCTCCCCCCTAGTCTTCTGGGGTACTACTATCCCAAGCTTGAGTGAAGCCTTTCTTGACTTGCAGCTGTTTTTGGTACTTGCAGCACTTTTACTTTAGATATGCTTGTGTGTTAGCATAATTTATGTTTGCAGTGGGTTTTGTATTTACATTGCATTTGCAATTTTTTGCTCCCTATTTCGTGTGACTTTAACAGCATTTTTACTTTGCATGTGTTTGTGTGTTAGTATAATTTGTGTATTTACAAGTCTCACACTTGTGTTTGAAGTTGTTTATGCATAAAAAAAAAAAACTGCATTTGGCTGTATGATCTGATTGAACTGAACTTTAATGACATAAGCTGTTAATTGCCGCTATGTAAATAAACTGAACTAAATTTAACTGCTTTAGCACTTCTCGGCCACCTTAAATCATAGTACCTATTCTAAGCAATGTAATTGCTATATGCAACCTAAATATAAATGTACAAAATGTACAAAAAATCTAAATTTTTTTGTGCCTCATCCATTTCTAAGATCTTAGTCTTGGTATTGTCCTTAATATTCCTTGTTAATATTAAGTAATTTATCACTGCAATTGTGGAAACAGGCTGTGGTTAAAGTAATATTAATAACAATATAAAGCAGTTGTCAGGGGAAAAGAATCAGACTTTGTTCATCCAGCCCAATCAAACAAAAGAGACAGAAAGCTACCAGCATATTATCTGTCGACTCTTATAGGTACAATTGCATCCCTTAGCTTAATGTGTAATAATTCTTAATACTTTTTAATGTCTACCTTGTCTGGAAGCAAAAGAGCAATGTTTCTTACCAAAATGAAAATTAAACTACATAAACATGTTTTCTCTCAGAGGAAGTCTGCCCCTGAATAGCAAAGATTCACATAACAGTTCTTTTATGATGCATGAAACCCGAGGCTCTGTAATGGGGTGTTAAAGTTTAAAAGTAAGGTTATTACCTCACAAGAAAAGCTAATGAAAACACACTACAGGCTGTGCCTAGGGAAATGGGTGCTTCAAACAGCTTTATGCAGTGTATAAAAGAAGGAAACTGTGGAAGTGTCAGATTGAGATGAGTGATGATTAAAGTGGGATGGGACTTGCCATCTCCTGTGTCAAAAATAAATTCATCCTTAAGGAATTTTTTTTGCAGATCTGTTGTCAATACTGGCATTAATGCAACTTCTCAAAGCTCAGGAGTTTATCTTCAGTATTGAAGTTTCTATTTGCCCTTTGCAGCAGCTTTGATAAGCAGTGTTTCTCTATGCAGTCAAGCACAAATAAGCTTTTTGCATTTACTCTTAATGTATATCTCCATAGGTCTTTCTTTAAATGTATTTGTTTTGTATGGAGAAATAGATACAGTATTTTTATTATTCCGAGTTTTTAAAAATTATCTTTTGCAAATGAATCATGTCACAAAACCACCTTTAACTAGGTTCTCTCTTTCATCCAAGTCCACATTTTATTCTGTTTACAGAATATCTTTAAACGCAGCTAAGTCTAAGTGTGTGGGTGTGTCCGGCCCAGAGTCTACTCCAACCATCCCAAAAAGCAGGACATAAATACAAGCATACCAGCATCACAAACAGGGTTGGACAACTGGTTTGATAGCAGTCCTTCTCTTGTCATCCTATTCCTTGTATCCACAAATCAAGTGCTTGGTAGCTTACCTGATTCAGTAGGAAGATTATTTGAAATGCATCTCTATGAGTACCACTAAACATCAGCAATGCCACTGAGAAAAAAAAATATAGACATTTAAGGTTGCAGTTACTTTTGTGACAGGTGTGAAAAACCAATCGTTTTACTATAAAAAGAATAAACTATTTAAAAAATCTGATGTGGAGGGCAAAAGATAAATACTTCATTGTGCTGCATGTTAAGATTGAAACAGATGGGCTGTGTCCGAACTTCTGCCATAACCCCTAAATCCTTCAATCATTTTATAGAGCGAGCGATATATAATGGACTTAATGTTGAATTCTGTGAACTGACCATTCGGACAGATGGTCACTACTTATCGCTGCCCGTTGGTCACGTAACTCTGCTTCCCCGAAAGGTGCACACGCCATCTTTATTTACCACCGCAAAAACAAATCCCATGATACTTTGCAAGGTGAGCTCCTGCAAAGCAATCAGGGATATATCTGCTTTTCTAGTTACCATCGATGATCTCTACTTTTCAAGTTGCATTGTGGGAAAAGTGCCTTTGCACATGAGAAACACTCCAGTCCACTGCTTTATCCACTAGACGTTCAGACACTCATTCAAAATGGCGTAATCACTGTATAATGCACTATATAGTGCACTATACAGTGATTAGGGCAGACATTCTGACATAGCCATGTTTGAGTTTAATGATGTGTACTCTGAAAGGAGTTCAAAACCCTCTACAAGATTATACAGCAATCAC